CTTGACGCCTTGATAAATTATCTCACCAAGGCCAATTATCCTTTCCAGATCCCAGGTCAAGAGAACGCTGCTGGTTGGCCCGCAGACTGTCATGTTATAGGCAAGGACATAGTCCGATTTCATTGCATTTACTGGCCAGCCTTCCTCATGGCTCTCGACCTTCCTCTGCCCAAGCAAATTCTCACCCACGCGCATTGGACTCTCGGAAACGAGAAGATGTCTAAATCTACAGGTATGGTGGTCAATCCCTTTTTTGCCATCAATCGCTTCGGCGTCGACTGCATGCGCTACTATCTCGCCCTCAATGGTGGCATCAAGAACGATTCCAGCTACGACAATTCGTTCATTGTAGCACGCTATAAGAGAGGACTTCAAAGCGGCCTTGGCAACTTAGTCAGTCGCGTCACTCGAGGCAAAGGCTGGGATGTAAGGCGAGCGGTGAAGAATAGCGACAAGCATATCGAACGGCTCGATGAGCAGCTCAGTCTCAAGCTGAGCAAATTAAGAGATATGGTGTTCCGGTGCATGAGTGAGCCAGATCCTCGAGAAGGGCTGCACACGATAATGAAAGTAGTCCATGATGTATGTATCTCGCCTTTGAGCCTCCTGTTTCAGACTGATCCTTTCGCAGACGAATGCATACATGCAATCCAGCGCGCCGTGGAATCTTTGCGAGCCTGAAAAGCAAGAGCAACTAGACTGCGTCATCTACCTTTGCGCGGAATCGCTTCGGATCTGCGGTATTTTGCTTCAGCCCTACATGCCAGCGAAGATGAAGCAGCTCCTGGACATGCTAGGTGTGGCTGAGGATGCGCGGATGTGGGTAGATGCAGACCTAGGAAAAGACCAGGACTACGGAGAGCCGAAGGATGAGATTGGCAAGGAAACTGAGATGCTGTTCCCGCCTTTGAATAGTCAGTTCTGAGAAGAATGTACAGTGTAGTTTCAGGCTCTGCGCCTTTGAATCCTTCCTTATGCATCTGGTCTCCCACCGTTTTACCCTTCAGGAAATCCCGTGAACAATTGGACGATGTGTTGGCAGAATCTCAGATCCCAATTATTTTTGTCCATTATTTAGTGACATAGACAGCACTCCCCAGACTCCAGAGACAAACGAAATCTATATCCAAGCATATACGATGGAGATGACAAAAACAGCGAATTGACAGTTTATTGACCCATTATCCAACCCGATCTAAACCCTCCAATCTCAGGACCTCCTCGACGCATCCGTTCTCGCCAGCGATCTCTGGACCTCTTCCAGGATGGCTTTGGCAACGGGTGGCGGTACTGCATTGACCACTTGTTTCTTGGTAGCCGGCAACTTACCACAGAACTCGTAATCGGCAGGGAACCCTTGCAGGCAGGCCGCTTCCCTTACCGTGCACACGTACTTGCCGTTGTAGTGGTCTGGCCAGTTCTCACCGCTTGTGATCGTGTCATGACAAGGCCAATCTGGCGGGTGAGGTGGTGCCCAGTTCTCGATGGGGCGTACCCTCCTGGGATTTTGCTGAACATGATTTGGGGCGCTGTCTTCGAGGTCTTCGATAGCACCTGCAAAGGTGTTCCAAGGCTGGGAGCGCGATCCGTCGCAATAAGCGCGGTGCGAATGTGTGGGTTCGGGGAATTCAGGGAGTGGTTCTCCTCGGCTGATGCCAGGTGAGCCATGTCAGTATGTGTCTTTCGCGCAAATTGGGCTAGGCTCTGAAATGACTTACCAAGAAGCTATCATGAAAAGGCGTTTCCGCCTTTGAGGCAGGCCGAAATCCACGCATTGGATTATTCTCCAGCTGACGTTGTAGCCGATGGAGGTCAAGTCGTGCACCATTGTTGTGAAAAATTCCCGATGTTTGCTGAGAACTGCTCCCACTTGCTCGAAGGTCACGATCCTTGGCCCCACTTTTCCCACAATCTTGCCAACGTAAGTCATGCATTCGTTATCTCTTTCTCCATTCCTTGGAGAACCCCTACAAGCCAGAGTGAAACCTTGGCATGGTGGCGAAAGGTGAAGAATGTCTACTTTTGATGTTCCGTATGCATTTTCAGATTCGAGAAAACTCTCAGCTGACATTTTCTTACATGTTCCGTTACCATGATTCAGAGAGTACGTATTGATGGCGTCTCTGTCTTTGTCGAAAGCCCATTCGATACGGAGCCCGGCGTCTCTTGCCCCGATGGACATACCTCCAGCACCGCAGAATGCGTCTGCAAACGTGTAAGCTCGCAGTCCAATGCCTTGCTCCGATACTGATCGTTGAGCCGATGATATATTGAGCGCATGAGCCAAGCTCATGCCAAGATGATATGAATACTTGCGTATAGCAGGGTTGCGCGTGGCTTTCGCAATCCTGTTGCCGTTGGTGTTCGGGGCCAATATGTATCTACCTCCTGCATCTCTGCAACGTTCTTTACCGAGGTTCCTGCTTGTGGCACGCCCAAACTTTTTGGGTCGACGTCGACCGCCATCTGAGCTTTCTCTCAGCGGATCACTGTCAAGCTGGTGCTGAGAATTGGAGCAATCAGCGGCTGTGGTTCCTCCAAGAAAGGGCTCCTGGCTAGACAGCGCTATGAAGGCTTTCGGCCGCATTCGGCTTCCATCCATAATTGATTGGAAGCTTCTTTCTGGTTGCTTAGCATCCGACTTTGAGAGCTGAGCCACTAATTTCCATTGACAAACTAGAGGCCTTGGATCTATGAACATTCCCATGACTCGAGTTTGGAGGAACGATTCGGAAGCAGACTCTGAGTTGGAGAGGTCTAGATGTCGGATGCGGAGCACATCTTTGCTGTTGCCGGACCTCAGGTACCCTTCTGGCGGGGAATCATGCTCTCCTGCTGCGCAAAGCCAGACTAGTTCGCTGCCACCAAATCTCACAGGCAAGTAGTCCTCGAACTCTTCGATAGGTCTAAAGAGATGGCCCTTGAATACCACAGAAGGACTGTTCTTGGGTCTTCCGAATCCGAGCTCCGTGATCCTCAGGAAGCTGCCATCAAGAAGCTCCAAGGTTTCTCCTTTGCTGATGACAGTTCCCACCTCGAGGTCTGTGTTGGCTCCCAGATGATCGTCGTTTAAGGTGACAGATGCTTGGTGAATGTGGATAACGTTATTGGTTTTGCGTGGTCGATGACACTCATCGTCCGATTCATCATCCCCAGATAAGTTTAGGTCATCTTCCTCAGATAGGCTTGGGTGATACTCCGAATCATCATCCTCAGATGTGGCTGGCTGGTGCTCCGGCCAGTCTTCCTCAGATGAGCTTGACTGGCAATCCGATCCGTCTTCATCAGACGAGTTTGGCTGATACTGCAGTCCATCCTCCACAGGCGGAAATCCTGGCATGGCTGCTGATGGCCACTGGATTGTGGATTCTGATATCACTTCCTAGGGGTCAGTTGTCAAGTGCTCTGAATGTTGCCTCGAGGTCCCAGGGCTGTGATTGGTTGCTTTCTTTGGCGTTGAGTTATAGACTATAATTGGTCTGTCGCCGCAAAGCTATTCAACTCGGTCGTCGTCACAGACGATGACAAAAATGAGTACAAGAGCAATTGGGATCAATGACCCAGAGTGTATTAACACAGTGAGGCCTAGGAAAGGATGTACAAGTTTTACTTCGTCTCTGCTGAATGAAGAAGGACGACAACATGCGAGCAGCACAGGGCTATATGAAGGGGGCCTGCTCCTGGGTAGGAGACATGTCGTTCCTTCGAGAAAGACATGTATGAGAAACATAAAGACGCAGAAGCACTGGATGAAAGGAACGGATACAATGGCAGACACGAGACCGGTCTGTCTTGTGACTCCTGGGTGTTGAGGCTTCAAAGACATCCATATTGGAGGACTCATTCATGTATCGTCGTAGTTAGTAGACATCTGAGAATGAGAAAAATGCTCGCAGAGCGACATGTCCCACTACAGAGCCAAGCCGTATCCAGAGCTGTCAGTTGGAGCGAGGTTAGTAACCACCGGCTGGGTTTGCTGACCCTTTTAGACTTAAGACTCAGCACCCGAGCTTTGAGACAGTGACCGAACCTGGAGCTTTCGAACAAAGGCCAGAGGTCATGCAAATCACATCCAAGCCTCGCGGCTGAAACACAGTCCTGGCCTCATAGCACTGGGAAAACGAGATAAATCACTTCCTATTGTTGGTCGCAGATAAAGGAAATACCGATGAATGGTATTCAATTATAGAGTCAAGCCAAGTTAGTTGGACTATTGATGGGGTTCAAAGCATCTTGAGAAACATGCGAGAGACATCCAACATCAGGGATGTGCCAAGTGCATTGGCTTTTCCGATGTATTGGTGAGTTTCACGATCCTACGAATGGTGTTCAATCAGGGAATCAAGCCCATTTTCATTGACGTTTACATCTTGAGCAGAATGAAACCTGCCAAATGCGTCAGCGGTTAATGCCAATCTTTGGGGCTGGAGCTGGGGCTCGAAACTCGTTCAGTCAGGCAGATGTTCAGAAATTTGAACCATATCTCAAGGCTGTTGACGCTCGGGACTCATGGGAATGGGCAGCTCCTATAGAGATCATGGTTATGACTCAGGGGCTCTACAATTCTACAATCCCATAGGCCCGTAATACTTCGGAGAAGTGGACATTGGGCTGCACCAACCATGCTTTTGCGATCGCTGTTGCTTTGCGACTCAAGGCTGATTCAGAGAGTGAGGTAGACAGAGCTGGCAATGGATTATGGTGCGTAGGGCGCGCTTTCCGAAAAGAGTATAGTGTGGCATGCGGGGAGAATGTCTTTCGGTCCGCAACAGACAAGGGTGTATGGGGAGGTCAAGTTGATGCTTGTGGGCATTATGTTCTAAGAACTGTGTGCTGCCATGCAGTTGACTTCATATGGCCTCACTTTATCGCAACAATGGAAGACTTTTCTTGTACCGGTCCTGCTGGTTTACATCTTGCTTGTTCATCTCCTCCGAGATCGAAGGGCCAAAAGTCTAGAGAGGAGGTTCAGTCCTGCCGGCAGGGCATCCTTCTGCCGCATGACTACAGATGATGCTCAGGCGATATTGAAGGACTTGACTGAGTTGGAATTCCCTAAGTTCTTCGGATTCTCCATCATCTTTGCGCTTTTCAAGGTAAGAAGCCCAAATATTGTTTTGTGAAACAAAGCTCATAGATGAGGCCAACATTTGCTTACTGTGGAGTCACAGACATACGGAATACCAAGCGTGTCCTCCCTTCTCGTTGCTACTGGGCAGCTTGTAGATGTCGAAACGGCATCCAAACGAATAGCAGACACCGGAGTCCTGCTGCTAGAGTTCGCACTCAACGAGCCAACATCCGAGAGAGCCACCCAAGCAATAGCTCGCATGAACTACTTGCATGCAGGTTATCAAAAGGCTGGAAAGATCACGAACGATGATATGCTGTACACCTTAAGCTTATTCGCTTTAGAGCCGGCGAGATGGGTTAGAAAGTACGAGTGGCGAAAGTTGACGGAGCTAGAACTTTGTGCTTGCGGAACCTACTGGAAGAGCATGGGCGATGCTATGGATATATCATACTCGATCCTGCCTTCGTCAATACCTGGGTGGAAGGACGGACTACAATGGTTGGACGAGGTGGAAGCATGGAGCTTAAGATATGAGGAGGCATACATGGTCCCTGCTGTTACTAATAAACAGCTAGCTGACTCTCATTTGGAGATTATTTGCATGAATGTTCCAGCTAGATTGCTAAACCCTTGCAAGAAATTGATCTCTGTAATCCTAGGGGAAAGACTACGGACGGCCATGATGTGGGTTTGACCCGTTAGCGAATCTCAGCATAGCTGATCCCATTGCAGGTATCCTGAGTCCCCTCAGGTGTATCACACCATAATTAATGGCGTACTGGGAGTCCGAAAGCTACTGCTCCGTTATCTCGCCCTTCCTCGCCCTGAAATGATGAGGAAGCACTACATTCCCTCGGGACCAGATCAATCCACTGGACGTTACAATGCTGTCGAGTATTTATCCTATCCGTGGTATGTTGAGCCAACTTTCTCAACGCGCTGGGGCCCAAGGTCCTGGATTACTCGCCTTGTGGGTCGCAAATTACCAGGCGATGATGGAAACAAATATCTTCCTGAGGGTTGGACTCATACTGAGATCGGGCCGAAAGCTTTGAGGGGCAAAGGTATCGAATACATGGACGAGGATCGCAAACGACTAAATTCCCGAAAACGAGGTGGCTGCCCATTTGCGTTGGGCTAAGGACCGCAATCCTTGGGTGAGAAATATTACGAAGCAACTTTGCATCCGCTGGTCTTTGGATATACTATATTCAATGCTTGCTTGGACCCGCCTCCTTCTGATGAGTGTTGTCTGTTTGGGGTTACCACCCATTGGGAAAGCCGCCACCACGAGCATTCTTATGATCGACAAGATGCTACAACTGTTTAATGCTCTTGCCTGAGACAGTATGCGTTCCAGCATGATAGCAAATGGAGTCGCAAGCGCTTTATCCATTAAATTCAACTAAATACAGCACGACGAGAAAGCCCCTCGCCAATGAGTAGAATACCGAGTATGCAAGCGCGGACTCCTTGTGTGTCACGTTAGCGCTTGCGATCCACTTCAGGCTAGCGTCCTACGGGCTTCGTCCTATCACTGAACGCCCCACGTCTCCATCTGGAAATTCCACAGCTCAGCCTCATCAAAAGCAATTTTTTATTTCTGTCATCGACTTCAGGAAATGCTCCGCTGGTTATCAGAGGAGACATGCTTCAGACTACTTTATTGTCTTTTGTCGGCCCCATGTATAGGACACGCACAGTATGGCCAATCTGACTTATATACCCACACTTCTTGCATCTGTACAGAGCTACAATGCCTCGAAGAATGGCGACCGAGTCATGAAAGGCTGGGTGGATTCGCCGAACCAGCGTGGAACCATCGATATAATCTGGAGTTGCATCACAACTCTAGCCATATGCTGTTGGGTTATGTTGCACCTCAACGTTCCGGCCAAGAACGATAATCTCTGGACTTTGTTTCTTCGAAGGGCAAGGTGGCTCATGCTTGCACTCCTGTCGCCCGAGCTGGTCATGCTTTTCGCGTGTGGGCAATGGGCTTCAGCCCAAAGGTCCGTTGCTGACATGCATTCCTTGGGCTACCAAAATTGGACAATGATACACGCATTCTACGCCGACATGGGAGGCTTTTTGCTCCATCCGCCAGACTGTAAATCGTTCCCTATCACTGCAAAGCAGGTCCATTACCTTGTCCAGCAACGCTATCTACCAGTGCCGAAAATCACAGGGAAAGAGATCTGGGACAAGAGCAAAGCAGACATGTTCGCGAAGACTGTCGCAGGTTTCCAGGCAGCCTGGCTTGTGGCGCAAGTCATAGCACGTGGGATCAAGCACCTCTCGGTCACACTCCTGGAATTGTCCACAGTAGCTCTCATTACCTGTACTGGAGCGGCGCTGTTGTTCTGGTTCAACAAACCCTTGAACGTCGAGACACCCACGGATCTTAAGCTCGAATTCAGCGTCGCCGAAATCCTCGTGCGGGCAGGAGACACGGCCGAAGCTCCATTCCATGACACACCCCTCGATTTCGTTGAAGGCAACCTCTACACTTCGGGTCAAATGCCTTTTGCCAGCTGTTGGGGTGTTCAGGAACGTCCACTTCCACGAATCCCAAACGATCGCGATTCCAGATTGCACAGCTTGCGAATCATCCTCATCGTCGCTGTTCCAACTGCAAGTTTTTCCCTCCTCCACCTTATTGGATGGAACTTCGATTTCCCGACCAGAGAAGAACAGATGATGTGGCGATGGACCTGCATCTCTATGGGTATCATACTGGGAATAGGATGTTTTGCCGAGGCCATTAGTATCGTTTGGGACGGCTACACGACGTCGGCACTTACAAATCTTGGCGGGTATAAGCTACGGTGGCCTAGTAATCTCTTATTCTTTATACCAGGGTTTCTATATATGTCTGCGCGTCTCATTGTCATTGTCGAGATTGTGATAAGTCTCCGTCTTCTTCCACCTGGCTGCTTCGAGGTTGTACAGTGGTCGCAGCTTCTGCCACATTTTTAAAATGTTTATAAATTGCTGTCAACCACGTATCCCTTCGATCGAGTGTAACGTTTGATTTGGGAATGAATCATAGGTTCGTTCAAGGCGAAGCAATCAGAAGGTAACAGATCTATGCCTGATTGGCGAATCCTGGACCAAAGTCTATGCACCTGCCGAATACTCCAGTGACGGAAGCTGCTAGATGCCTCCTTCCACGCCGAGGCAATGCTGTTTTTCATGGTCCCTTTCATCATACTACATAATCCTGTTCTTACCTCTCGTAACCCCCTCCATTGCGCTCCTCTTTGAACCATCCTCCTCTGCCCTACTCTCCGGCCCATGCCCCTGTCCCAGTACCACGGTCGCTCTCTTCTCGAAAGCCTCAATCATCATTCCTGCCACCTTCGGCGCCGCAGCCTGACTCAACGCGCTATACACCGCACTCGCGAACCGCACCTCCAGAACCAGATTGACCTCCGTCCTCGGCCTACTCGGCGCGCTCGCACTCCCTTCCTGCGGCGTCTTGCCGTCCGGCGGGGCAGGCTTGAACGGGAACTCCCTAAACGTCCACCGCGTCAACAACGACGTGAATATCGACCGGTTCCCCGCCGACTTCTCCGCATCGTCTTCGTGTCCCGGGTCCTCGTAGTAATGCGCCAACCGACTCTTCGGGATCGTCGGCTCCGCGTCGCCGGCCACGGCTTCCAGGACCGTGTGCGGTAGGCAGTAGACGGCGCTGCGGAACAGTTCGTCGTACGGACCGTAGCCGATGCGGAGGTCGGCGGTGCGGGGCCACTCCTTGCGGTGGGCGGCGTCCGGGGCGGAGAGGGAGGTGATGGTGCTCGAGGTGCAGTAGGGGATGAAGTCGGGGTAGGCGGCGATGTCGGCGATGAGCTCGTACAGGGGCGCGGCGTGGTAGGGGAGGATGCGCGAGGCGGTGAGGGTCTGCAGGGGCGTGAGCGGGTTGGAGACGAAGGGTCGGGATGGTCTCGAGGGGGGTTGGGGGTGTGTGGGGGTCGGGCGTGGTTTCGAGAGGAGGGATGCTGGGTGCGGGTGGAGGGCGGGAGAGGGGCGGAGGAGCAGAAGTCTGCGCGTGGCTTTCATGCTGGCGGGGTTGCTTGTGGGTGTCGCGAGGGTGGATCTTAGCAATTGGAGCGGTCAGTTTGTATGGAGTGACAGACGAGGCAAGCGATAACTCCGTGAACTCCTAGTCTCAGTAATTCAGACTCGCTTAGCGAGGTACCCTATGGCCAGCCCTACACTCGTTCCTCGCTTCGGGGACCAATCATATCGCAAGCTTATTATGATATACCCCCCCTCTAGAGTCTAAGTAGAAAACTATAAAATCGCTATATTAATTATTATTTTATATAAGACACTCGCAATAATTAATCGAAATACAAAATTCGCGACTTTTAATAATTTTTCTATAATTATTATATAATTCTTTAAAGTTAATCGCGAGGGGGATAGGTTTATTAAGGTCGCTAATTAAGTATTTAAGTCTTTTATTAAGATTAAATATCTTATTATTATCGTATAAGCTAATTCGAGATTACGATCTTCGCTAATATTTATAATATCTATCTTTAATCGATTAATTTTTATTAAGAAAATTCTAGATAATAATATATCGTCTTTAGTATTATTAAAAGATTATATAATAAATCGAGTTAAGAAATTATCTAAGTAGATTTATTATATTACTCTTAATTAAAAAATTAAATATTTAAAATACGCTTTTTATAGAAATATATATTAACTCGAATACGCTTTATTTAGAAGTTAAAGAAATTATAGTATATATATTTTAAATAATATTAACGCGATTAGTATATCTAGAATAAGCTTATATAGATATAGAATATATTAGAAATATTTAGATATCTAACTTTCTCTATAGCGATAATAATAAGATATCTTTAAACTTTAGATATTAATCTCTCTATATTTTATAGTAATATTCTTTCTCTATATAATAGCGAAGTCTAAAAACTTTTAATAATTCGAATTAAAAGAAATTTAAAAATTTATATATTCGATTCCCCGCGTATAGAAGTAAGACGAATATTACTTTAACGATTTTATGAAATCTTAAAAAATAAATAGTAGATCGAATTCTTTCTCGCTCTTATTAGAGTAAAATTCTAGATATCGCGAAAGTGCGAAGAAGTAGAATAGTTATTATAATTTTAATAATACTTTATATACTATTAATAATATTAATATCTTCTCTTATACTACTTTTAAATCTAATATTTAATATTTTATTTTTAATATAATAATAGCGACTAGCTATAATATTATTAATATTTTAAAATATTTAAATAATATAAATATCTAGTAATATTATACTCTTATTAAGTTATAGAGTTAATAATAATATATAAATTTAAGCGAGGTTAAAAATAGGCTTAAAATGAAATAGATATAAACGATCTATTATTTATTTAATAATAAAGACGTTATTTTAATAGCAAAAATTTTAAAAAGAGTCTTATTTTTTATTCTTTATCTCTATTAAAATTAAACGATGTAGCGATAATTATCTATTTACTTAATATACTATAGCTAAATTAATAAAGAAAGATTAATATACTATTTAATATTAAAGCTTTTATTTTAAATAATAAGAGTAATAATAAAAATAATCTATATAATATCGCTAAAGAATTTTATATATATATACTTATTAGCTCTAAAATCTTTATAGATAATAATATATTTAAAATTATTATAATAAAAAATATCGATTTTATCTCGCGATTTAGTCTTATTACTATTAACGAGATATATATAATTTATTAATAGAGCGATAGCTTTTATTTTAAATATAGTGAGCTTTATAATATAAGAATATTAACTTTAAATATATTTTAATTCGAGATCTCGATAACGTTAGATAATTAGTTATTAGATATTTATTAATATCTAGCTAATTTTAAAAATAATAGACTTATCGAGATTATAAAGACTTCTATTAATTATAAGAATATTATATTTAATATTAAAACTCTATGAAAATTAAAGAGTTCTTTTAAAGATCTTTATTTCTTAATATAAAGATCGAATTTTATATTTAATAAGATTATTATTTATATTAATACTATTTATCTCGATTATAAAATTATTAACTAGTTAATTTAATAATATATAAATATAGATTAAATAGTAAGAGAGGTG